CATCATCTTCAGGCTGGTGTTTTCGGCTTCGTGCTTCTAGGAACTTCATTGCTCCTAGAAGCACGAAGCCAAAAACACCAGCCTGAAGATGACGAATGGGACTTCGTCGAAATGTCGCCAAGACACTTCCAATTTTACGTGGAAGAAAACCTGAATAACCAAAGACCTACATACAAACACCTGCGAAAACCTCAGAAAACATATATACCACTTCTGGAGGCAGGTTGTTCCCCTGGTTAATTGTTCTAACTGTCAGGAAGTTTCTCCTTAGTTCTAGGTTGCTTCTCTCTTGATCAACTTCTATCCGTTGCTTCTTGTCCTGCCTTCAGGGCTTTGGAGAATAGCTTGACTCCCTCTTCTTTGGGGCAGCCCCTGAGATATTGGAAGACTGCTATCATCTCCCCCCTTCATCCTTCTCTTCATTAAACTGGACATACCGAATTCCAGCAACCGTTCCTTATATGTTTTAGCCTCCCGTCCCCTGATCCTCTTTGTTGCTCTTCTCTGTACTCTTTCTAGAGTCTCAACATCTTTTTTACATCGTGGTGACCAAAACTGGATGCAGTATTCCAAGTGTGGCCTTACCAAGGCCTTGTAAACTGGTATTAACCCTTCATGTACACACACACACACACACACACACACACACACACAGAAAGAGATGAGTCTGATCATATATATGCACACATAAACACACACACCAGTAGTCCTTGACTTACAACAGTTCAGTTAGTGACTTTTTAAAGTTACAACAACACAGAAAGAAGTGACTTACGACCATTTTTTACACTTAACCACCACTGTACCAGCTCCATGATCACGTGATCGAAATTCAGACGCTTGGCAATAGTCTCATACCTACGGCAACGGTCTCCTGGGGTCACGTGATCCTCTTTTGCGACCTTCTGACAAGCAGAGTCAATGGGGGAAGCCAGATTCTCTTAACCGACCCTGTTACCAACTTAACAACTGCAGTGATTCACTTAACAACTGTGGCAAAGAAGGTCATAAAATGAGGCAAAGTTCACTTAACCAATGTTTCACCTAGTAACAGAAATTTGGGGCTCAACGGCGGGCGTAAGTTGAAGACTACCTGTATTACCTGGCTTTGGTGGAGATGATATTAAATCTTTTCTCATATTCAGGAAGTTATGGACCAGATTTTTTTTCCACTCAGTCCCATAAAAACAAGATGAATGCTATACCACAAGACATATTTCAGATTTTGATCAATGTTAATGTCACTGAGGTTTTCCCAGTTGCAATGGATGGGTGTGAAAGTTGGACCATGAGAAAGGCTGAGCGACAAAGAATTGAAGCCTTTGAGCTATGGTGCTGGAGAAGACTCCTGCGAGTCCCCTGGACTGCAAGGCGATCAATCTGGTCAGTCTAGAGGAGATCAACCCTGACTGCTCTTTAGAAGGCCAGATCCTGAAGCTGAAACTCAAGTACTTTGGCCACCTAATGAGAAGGAAGGACTCACTGGAGAAGAGCCTAATGCTGGGAAAGACGGAGGGCAAGAGAAGAAGGGGACGACAGAGAATGAGGAGGCTGAATGGAGTCACTGAAGCAGTAGGCGTGAACTTCAATGGGCTCCAGAAGATGACAGAGGACAGGAAGGCCTGGAGGAACGTTGTCCATGGGGTCGTGATGGGTCGGACACAACTTCGCAACTAACAACAACAAATGTCACTGAAGGCAAAGGCAATTCAAAGGGAGGACATCATTTCTTGAAATGAAGGGGTTATTCCAAAGCAATGACCATAATATCATTAAGGATTTTTTAAAAAAAGCTGCACAACCTTTTGATAGAAAAAGATAAACAGCTAAGTCTTGTGGTATTGCACCCAAGCTGCATTACAAGTATAGTTATTATCAGATTTGACAGAATCATTGTGTGAGAAGACAGAAAATAATTTTCCTTTCCTCTGTAATGCCAGATTCCCCCTAGAAGGTTATTGTTTTCCTCCTTTCAAGTTGTAAACTCCAACAGAGAGTGTGATGTGCTATCACAGCAAAGTGTGACTTCGATCGAATGAAAATGTCAACCAGGCTCAACATTGTGTAACATCGGGAGATTTTCACATAGCTTAAAAGTAGGAAGTCTTGTCTTTGGGTAGAAGTAAGCAGCAGTGATGGGATTCAAATACACGAACCACCAGTTCTCTTAGCCTGTGCCTCCGAGGCTCAGAACAGACTTCCAGAAGCAGCATCCATGCACTTCCAGCGGGCCGTTCTGGCCTTAAGAGGCCTCCTCTGGGCCTCCGAGGCCCAGGATGGACTTTCGGAAGTGGCATCCACGCACTTCCTGCTCAGCTGTTCTGGGCCTGGGAGGCCTCCTCTGCGCCTCCAAGGCCCAGAATGGACTTCCGGAAGTGGCATCCACACACTTCCGGAGGGCCGTTCTGGGCCTCAAGAAAAAGGGCTACAGCTTCAGCTGGTTCACTAAACTCAACAAAAATTAGCTACTGGTTCTGCCAAACTGGTGTGATCTGTGGTGTGATCCCACCACTGCTAAAGAGGTCTAAGGAGAGTTCAGGACATGAACCCTGAATTTTAACTAACATAAATAACCACACAGCTTTAAAACAAGCCATGTGCTGTCCTATGGAGAGTAATCAGGGTCATTAGCTAGTCGGACAATCCAACTTACTCACTATAAAGAATGCAAAGGGCATATAAAACAAAATCGGGTTCAAGACTTGTCGGTTTTTAAAAATACCAAGCGAAGATGTTAACTTTGATTAAAGTGAAAACCCCCATGGTATCTGGATAACATGCTGTTCATATAATATTTGACGAATTGTCCACCTGCTGATCACTCAATTAAACTGAACAGAACGTTGATCAAAAGCACAGAACATGCCATCTAAGAGAATGAACATCTGCAAATACACACATACATTCACACATATATTTTTCTTCATCCTTCCCTTATTGGCAGCCTGTCAAACCACAAATCATTAGTGCATCGAGGGAAAAAGTTGTCCAAGTACAGTAGAACTGTTAGTCTGTCAATCAACTGCTTAGCTGCAAAATATCCAGGATTAACCTGGAGATAGATGTCTCTTCCATTGGTCACCATTAATTAGGAGACTTCTGCAGAGTGTAGACTGATTCCCCAAAAGCAAGTTAGCTGCCACAGATTTCGTGCAGCTGCGTGGTTGATCATCCATGGTATCAAGGTGGTTTGCAGAGTGGAGTCGAAACAATCAGGATGGTGGCTGCATTGCTGTAAACAAAGTTCTGCCTCTTTTTTATGTGCTACATTGATTTTAGCCAAAAAGTTAAGACACAGCACAGAGGAAAAACTAAGCAGAACTTCAATCATATCATTGCAGCTACCATATTGACTTTGTAAGTATAGCTGATAGATGCCCCTAAATGAAGTAAAGGCTCTGTGTGTCTGTGTGTGTTTGTGTGTGTCTTATTGGCTCTTCTAAATGCAGCACCAAAGATCTCATCTTCAAAAAATGACAATAAAGGTCGTCTTATCTTATCTTATCTTATCTTATCTTATCTTATCTTATCTTATCTTATCTTATCTTAGGACTGCAGCCAAGAAATTAAAAGACGCTTGCTCCTGGGGAGGAAAGCTATGGCAAATCTAGACAGCATACTAAAAAGCAGAGACATCACCCTGCCAACAAAAGTGCGTATAGTCCAGGCCATGGTTTTCCCAGTTGCAATGTATGGCTGTGAAAGTTGGACCATAAGAAAGGCTGAGCGCCAAAGAATTGAGGCCTTTGAACTATGGTGCTGGAGAAGACTCCTGCAAGTCCCCTGGACTGCAAGGCGATCAAACCGGTCAGTCCTAGAGGAGATCAACCCCTACTGCTCTTTAGAAGGCCAGATCCTGAAGTTGAAACTCAAATACTTTGGCCACCTAATGACAAGGAAGGACTCACTGGAGAAGGGCCTAATGCTGGGAAAGATTGAGGGCAATAGAAGAAGGGGACGACAGAGAATGAGATGGCTGGATGGAGTCACTGAAGCAGTAGGTGTGAACTCCAGAAGATGATAGAGGACAGGAAGACCTGGAGGAACGTTGTCCATGGGGTCGCGATGGGTCGGACACGACTTCGCAATTAACAACAACAACAACAACAACAATCTTATCTTATCTACAGATCTCCATTCCAAGCTTCTAATTTCATGCATACTTTACCCAGAAGGAAACATCTGAGCAAACTCACTGCAGGATCCTACTTGTATTATTGTTCAATTGTTACTCTGTCATATTAGTGCTCATTCCTTCTTGAAGAAAATAAATAAATAAAAATTACAATGTTCTCCATAAAATGATCAATGGATAATATTCTAGGTAAGCACTCATGAAGATTATCCTTCGGCCAACTTTCTCTCAAGGCCTAAATCTGGTCCATATTTTGTTTGGTGCTTTGCAAAGAAGATTTTCTCAAACTTTATCCTGATAAAATCTAAAAGGACAGGAAAAGAAAAGTTAACTTGGGTTCTCCCAGTTCAGAATACCAAGAAGTATCCATAATGACAAGGGGCACATTTCTCTCCAAACTTTGATGCAAGTTTGTCCCAAAGGTGCTTTTATTTCCCCCTTGAGTTTTCTTTCCTCTTTGAAAATGTTTTGCTTCCCATCCAAGAAGCTTCTTCAGTTCTAACTAAAGTAAGAACTGAAGAAGCTTCTTGGAGGAGAAGCAAAACATTTTCAAAGAGAAAAAGAAAAAAGAAAACCCAGGTGGCCTTTTGGAAAAAAAAACCCTGACCTGGTTGATTGATCATCCCCATAGACAGCACTTCAGTTTGTTTCGCTGCAGAAAGGAAACTCAGCATAAATAACCAAGGCATGAATCTTGCAATACACTTACTAATGGCTGGTTTAATTTTGCAGGTGAGGCCTTTGAGAACACAGTCCCCTTTCCCGCACTGAGAGAGAGTTAAAATTCATAGGCTTACTCTTTATGAAACCAACCAATTCACCTTCCACAGTTTCTCAGTGGCTAGTCCCTGGTTTGTTTACTTACTCTCGCAAAGCCTTCTTCTCAGCTTCTCCCGTATCTTATCAATAGCGTTGTAATCAGAAACGTGGAAGATGTGGGCCGATTTTGGCTCAGAAGCAATTTCATCCAATTCTTCCTTAAGGGCATCTCCGACGCCCACCGCAAAAATCCGGATGCCAGCTCGATGTGCTGCTGAGGCCGGACTCAAGACGTAATCCTGGCTCCTGCCGTCCGTCAAGAGGATCGCTACTTTCTTGATGGCATCATCGTATGGCCTCCCGCCGGCCTGTGCGGAAAAGCTGTAACTATTGATGTACCGCAGGGCATCTCCAGTGTTTGTGTTCCCCCCAAGGTATTTGATGCCCTTTGCAGCTTCTTTGATCTCGCGTTGAGTCCCGTAACTCCCAAGGTCAAACTCAGTAGTTGGGTGATCGCTGTACCGGACGACCCCAACACGGGTTTTGTCTGGTCCAATCTCAAACGTATCCACCAGGTGAGCTATCCACTGGCGGACCTTCTCAAAGTCTTCTTTGCCCACGCTGGAGGAAGTGTCCAGCAGGAAGATCAGGTCATAGTGGACGTTCTTACAACCTGCAATGGAAACGGGAGAAGCTCCTGAGAGAAGAGAGAAAAAGGCAGCCAGGAGAACAGCAACATTCATAGACATTTCTGTCCAACATAGTAGAGTCCACCTGCGGAAAGGACTTAGCAAATCTCTGTTTCTCCAAAGCATGGAACATGTTTCACCTGGCAGATCCTGTCCCCTGCTAAATGTTTTCTTACAGGTTCTGCCTTAATCTGCGGTTTCCAAACCTAGTTCCCAAGGCAGCTTTTTGCTGTGGTTTGCAAATTTTGTCTCCCCCACCTTCTCTCTCCCTCGCGACAGTTGTCTTGGCTCAGCCCCTTTTTTGTCTTCTCTGTTTGCATGTCTATGAGGCAACTTAAAAAAAAAAAAGGAAAGAAACTCCCAACAGACTCAGCTCTGTTCTCCCGCCTCCCTTTCCCCTTTAATGCCACAAGCTGAAAATGCCTGGGCATATCAGATTGTCTGCCTTCAACCCAGTGTCGCTCTTTGTATGGTTGTACGTATTCTCTCTTAACCAGTGCCATTATATTTTATTAATCATTAGTCTGGAGGTGGTGTTTTCTTTAACACCACCAGTGAAAATGTTTCACAAAACAAGCTAGAAACAAAATCTGACATCGTAGGTGATTCACTGAGAACAAAAAATTCAGACTTGTTATTTTACCAAAGGAAGCATCTCTCTCCATCTGTGTGTATACTTATATAAAGTAGGTAAATATGGGTTTACAGACCATGTCCTCAGAAGCGAGGATTTAAAGAAATAGATCATACATTTAGCTGGGTGCGAATTCCATTTCTACTGAATCAGAATTAGAATAGAGTTACAAGGGGACCTTGGAGGCCTTCTAGTCCAGCCCCCAGCTCAAGCACTTATAACATTTCAGACAAGTGGCTGTCCAGTCTCTTCTTAAAAACCTCCAGTGATGAAATACCCACAACGTCTGGAGGCAAAGTGTTCCACTGGTTAGTTGTCCTCACTGTTAGGAAGTTTCTCCTTAATTCCAGGTTGCTTCTCTCCTTGATTAGTTGCCATCCATTGTTTCTTGTCTTCTGGTACTTTGTAAAATAAATTGATCCCCTCTTCTTTGAAGTTTCTCCTTAGTTCTAATCATTTGCTTAGTGACCATCTGAAGTTACAACAGCACTGAAAACCGTGACCTATGACCATTTTTCACATTTACAACTGATGTAGCATCCCCATGGTCATATGAACACAGCTCGGACGCTTGGCAACTGACTCATATTTATGACGGTTGCAATGTCCTGGAATCATGCGATCATTTTTGGTGACCTCCAGACAAGCAGAGTTAATGGGGAAGCCAGATTCACACTAAACAACCATGTTACTAACTGAACAACTGCAGTGATCCACTTAACAACTGTTGAAAGAAAGATTGTAAAATAGGGCAAAATTCACTTAACCAATGTTTCACTTAGCAAACATAAATTTTGGGCTCAGTTGTGGTTGTATGTTGAGACTACCTATATAGGTGTTCTTTTTTTCTGGACATCTCTTTGACAGGATCTTTGAATTATTCTGTTTTATTTGTCTTTTGTTTGATACTGCCCAAAGTCAGGTGGCCCATTTAAATAAAGAAATAGCAGGATGAAAGTCTGTCACATTTCTCATAAAGTCTGGCTGCTGGTGACTGAGATTGGGCATATCCTTCACCCCTATATTTACCAATAACTTTAGCTCAAAAGTTGAAGTGAACAGTTTTTATTCATTCCAAAAAATGCTTCAGCGATGGCAAGGCGGCCCAGGGTTGTGTAGCTTTTACGTGACAGCTACAATGGTATTCGCACGCATACTTCTAAAGCAAGTCTTGTCATGTTAAGTGAAGTTCACCTCAGCTGTTCATGGGAAAGGCCCCGATGAAGATCTCACAATGAACAACCACTTTTGGAAAAATCTGACAGGCTGAAAAACAATTTGACCGAATCATCCTTTCAAAATGACCCTTCGAACCGAATCCCTGAAAGAATCTGATGTGCCGAATGTAATCCATCAGATCGGTTTGGATATTTGTTTGATTCAAACACTGGCGTTTTGGAATGATTTAGTAAGGAGGCCACACGGTATAGGGTTGGACTAGATGACCTCCAAGGTCCCTTTCCAACTCCATTGAAGTAGGAAGCTGTTCTCCGTTTTTAAGCGGCAGCGACCCTGTTTCACTTGGCTCCTATAAGTGGGAATTTATGAAAAATGAAATGAAATTTAATTTATGAAAAACAACAGGGCATATCTTGTTTGCTCAAGAGCAATAAATAATGTTGAGGCCATTTAGGTAGTCCTTGACTTACAGCCACAATGGAACCCAACATTTCTGTTGTTAAGCGAGAGAGTTGTTAAATGACTTTTGTCCCATTTTGAGACTTTTCTGGCCACCGTTCTTAAGGGAATCACCACAGTTGTCAAGTTAGGAAAATGGCTTTTAAGTGAATCTGGCTTCCCCATTGAGGGTCACAAAAGAGGGTCACGAGACCCTGCACTGCAACAGTCATAAGTACATGCCAGTTGCCAAGCATCTGAATTTTGATCACGTGACCATGGGGATGCTGCAACAGTGTTAAAGACTGTCATAAATGTCTTTTTTTCAGTGCTGCTCTACCTTCGAACAGTCACTAAATGAATTGTTGTAAGTTGAGGACCATCTGTATGTGTAAAATAATCTTAAGGGGTGAATAAAACTCACAATCGTGTTGCCCACTGTAATTTTTAGAACTCTTTTTTAAAGATCCCACGTAAATCCCCTCTCAGATGAACATTTTTTGCAAACAACACGTGCCCTTACCTGCTCTCTGCGCTTTAATCTTCTCTCCACCCCAGAGAAGAAGTAGCACCAAGATGGAAGTGATCAAGTATCTTCCTACAAAAGGCATCTCTGCTTACTTCCCAGGGATAACACACCTTTTTTTTTATTCTCCCCTTTAGTATATGGAATTCTGCTACAGATGCATGCCTGAGAAAAGGAGATTTTTTTAAGAGAGAGAGAGAGAGAGAGAGAGAGAGAGAGAGAGAGAGAGAGAGAGAGAGAGAGACATGAGAATAATGTAACCAACATTCTTCAACTAAGAAATCACCACTTTAAAAGGGTAGATAAGGGGGATATCAGATCTGATCCTCCAAAGGTACAATATTTCCCTTGGTTTCCCTTTGCCCTGACTTTTTTTTTTGAAAGACTCTCAGTATATTGTGTTACACTGAGAGATATCTTAGACATTTTCAAATTGAACAGTGGATTTTCATGAAAAGGAAGCACAGTCTACTGTAGCTATCTGATAAGAAAGATATGAAAACACAGCACACTAAGAATAGAATAGAATAGAATAGAATAGAATAGAATAGAATAGAATAGAATAGAATAGAATAGAATAGAATAGACATGTCAAACACAAGCCCCGGGGGCTGGATGCGGCCCACAAAGTGGTTTCATGTGGCCCGTAAAGCCATCCTGGAAACAGTGAGGGAACGGCCCCCGCTGCCTTGGCCCTGGCCCAGGCCAGCTGGGAGCCAATGTACAATTTTGTGGTGGCCATCTTGGCACTTGCCCTGGTGGACCATGCCTTGGCACTTGCCCCAGTCCCACCTCCTTCTGCCAGAGACTGTCAGATCTGTCCCACTCCTACCCAGGCCCCCACAGGCACCCTTGACGCGAATGATGTAGAACTGGCCACACCCACCCAGTAGGCTACACCCACCTGGCCCCCCAAGGACAACCACAATACTGATGCGGCCCTCAGTGAAATTGAGTTTGACACCCTTAGAATAGAATAGAATAGAATAGAATAGAATAGAATAGAATAGAATGGAGTGGAGTGGAGTGGAGTGGAGTGGAGTGGAGTGGAGTGGAGTGGAGTGGAGTGGAAGTAGAGTGGAGTGGAGTGGAGTGGAGTGGAATGGAATGGAATAGAATAGAATAGAATAGAATAGAATAGAATAGAATAGAATAGAATAGAATAGAATAGAAGCTGGAAGGGATCGTGGAGGTCTTCTAGTCCAGCCCCCTGCTCAAGCAGGAGAACCTATAGCTAATCATGAAGTCTAGCAGTAACTATGCTCAGATAACAATCCAGGCAGAAGTCACTAGGGTCTGTGGACTTATTTGAAAGACTAGTAGTCAGGGACCTCTTTTTGGAAACACTTTGAAGTTGTGTCTCTGCTTGCAGATCTGGAGGGAAGGCAGAAACTCTCTTTGAAGGAAGCACAAGAACGAGGGAAGGAAGATCACCCACACAAGGTGAACATATAACAGCTATGACATAACTCTCCCAAACTCTGCTCCAGTGTCAGTAAGATCATCGTTATTTGATTGGCATAGATTTAATTTAGGATTTAAGGCTTAGAATCCATTAACAAGTATGTGGTGGCTTGCTGCTAGCTATATGATGACGTATTTCATTACCTTGCTTTAGGAGTGCCCATGAGTTTTATGTTCAAATATGCATATAACAAGAAATAAAAATTACTTCTGCTCTCTCTTGAATTTAGCTTCTTGAACGGGTCTTAGTTGCATCATGTTTCTAATATAAATATAGCCCAAAGTAAACTTCACATACTAAAGCTGAAGCTCAAATACTTTGGCCACCTAACGAGAAGAAAGGACTCCTTGGAGAAAACCCTGATGTTGGAAAAATGGAAGGCAAAAGGAGAAGGGGATGGCAGAGGAGGAGATGGTTAGATAGTGTCACTGACGCAATAAACATGAATTTGAGCAAACTCCAGGAGACAGTGGAGGATAAGGGGGCTGGCATGCTATGGTCTATGGGTCACGAAGAGTTGGACCTGACTTAGCAACTGAACAAGAAAAGTGAACCTCACACAAAACCATTTGTACATGAAACAATTTTCAGCTGTGTGGCTTTCTCACAGGATACCTTGCTCCTTGATAATCAACCCCCCCCCAAAAAAAAGATGAGATTAAGAAGAAAGGGAATATTGTTAATCCCTTCTAACTGAAGTGGCTGGACTTTTTATATACAGACATAGCAACTGCAAAGTTACTGGTTTAGAAAGAGCAGATTAAAAGGTCTTTGTTGAAGAACCAAAGGGAGAAGATTATTGGAAAAGAACACAAGACTGTTGAGGACAGAAGATTGGAAATTATCCTCAGGGCTTTTCTGTCTTCTTCTGTGGAGACTTGGGCCTATTTACAGTAGCTCTTTCTGAGCTGAACTGGCAGAAACATTTCAAGTAGACTGCAGTAAAAATTCTCTTGTTTCATTAAGCATAGCTAGGACATTCCTGACTTTTTTTAAAAAAGAACATACTTAATGTATAGATCTGCTTGTTTATAAATACATACATGTACATACAAAGGATTACCACAAATAAAAAAAGTAAGGTGGGAAGAGTAACATGTAAAGTCCTGTTGAAGGAAAATTCTTCATCATGGTTCAATCCAAGCCGGGAATAAACAACATGGCGACTGCTTTAGAAAGAAGGTTGCAGTTTATTGGAGAGGAGAGCCAGACAGGAAGATGGCTCTGAAAGAAAAAAGAGTGAACACATGTAGGGAGTGGGCTTTTATACCCTCTGGAGCCTTTTGTTTGAAGTTGTTCCTGTGGCATGAACTTTGACCTGAGTCTGAGTGTGCCCTTTGGCATCTGTGGGTTAATCCTATTATGTCCTGTCTTAGAGTTTGGGTGGGGTGTATAGATTTTAGGTGTCTTTGTCTTCTTAATCTTTTAGCTTCAACCTTCCTGAATGGTTTTCATCTGCATTTCTACAGAGCTGGTTTCTGCTTGGGGGGGGGGGGGAAGACTTGGGGCTATTAATAAAACTGGCCATGCTTTTCTGCCTCTTTAAGATCCTTTGAGGAAATATCTTTTTCTGCCCTTTTAATATTTCCTTCTCTGGGGGCTGACTTCCCACAGTCCTGAATTGCTGGGAATCAGTGTGGGATCACATTCTTCTCTAGCAACCTGTTTGGGTGGTAGAATTTGGGAGCGAAGCTATTTACTCCATCCCCTGTTATCAGAGATACTTTACAAGGAACATGAGGAAAGTCTCATTATTGTCTTCATGCTGATGCTCTCTACTCTACAGTGGAGGGGAGAAATCCTCCTAGCACTGAAGATGTTACCTAGCTGGGCAATGAAAAATCTACAAGAAAACAACCAAGCTCAGAGAATGTCAAGGACCCCACAGAAATCCTTCCATTTGGCTTTGATACATAAAGCAATTTTGCCTATTCAAGTTGGATAGATACCAATTTTGTATGCCTGTGATTTTTTTTTTTTTACAGCTCCATTTTAAAGGGTTTTCAAATACAGGTTTTCCATTTCTTGGTAAGAAAGTGAGTGAACAATCACATATTTTTATGGCAGTTTCTATCAGGAATAAAGGTGGTTCCAAGCTCCTGAGAAGATTTATGCAATAGAAGGGTCAGTAAAGAGAGAAAATAGCTATTTCTAGCAGTGTAGCAGCACATTTGACAGGAAGTGTGTTACTATGTCGGGTTTCTACGTATATATTATTTTTGGAAATCACTTGAAAGAAGTGCTTCAGATCTTGCATGAGTATGACCCTAAACATCTCTGCTATTCTTTAAATCAGCAGGTCCTTTTTCAAGTTTCTGTGTCAGCCTGTGGAGATAAGACATAAATTGTGTCTGCTTTGATACAACTCTTAAACTAGCTGTGCTTTTTTAAAGCTCAAACATAAGCATGAAAAAAGATGAGATACTAGAAGGAATAGTTATAGAGCAGTTGTGCTGAACTAAGTATCTGGGGCAAGTAGACCTATTTTTTTTAAACAAAACACTGAAAAATGGCAAATGCTATTTTATTTGTTATTTTTGTCTTTCTGAACTGGATTCACTATTCATCGTTTCACGTTGCTGCGTTTTTGTGCCAAGCATCAAAATCTATAAGGTTCTTCACCAAATTTAATTGTAAATTTAAAAACGGTGTCTGGCATGTGTGTTGCATTTCAACACCCATCAGTTACAATATTCATTAACGATTCAGGAAACATTTGTGAACGTTAATTGTGTTGGGGGAGTTATAGGTTTATACTACAGATTTTTAATGCTGTAAGATATCTGAAGTCACAATTTCTTTAATGATAGATATAAATAAAGTGGCAATTCTATGCACCTCTGTTCAGTTAGTAAAGAACACTGAAACCAGTGGGAACTATTTCCCATGATCATATCTTGCATGAAGTTGCAATATTTTCCCCTTTCAAGATCAAATTCTAAAGTCTTATTCAGAATCTGGAAACCTTCCAGCATTTGTGGCAGCTGGTTTTAAAAACTGTGTTTTGTGCCAGGCTGTATATTTTAACCATTGTCCAGTAGGTGTCCTAGCAACACCATAATATACAGTTCAAGCTTTTTTGCAGACAAGTACACACACACACACACACACACACACACACACACACACATACAGACATAGTGATGCAGTACTGCAATCCAGTTCAGCAAATCCTGATATTAAATGTTTTGGAAAATACCAATGCGGTCTATTTAAAATGATTTAACAAGCTTGATGCTCACTACTCTCTTTTATGAGAGATATATTTCATGTAACTTAAACAAATCAGGAGCCAAGTAGCAATTTGGGTGCTTAACCATAAGTTGCAGCATCGGATGTACAGAGCACTTAAAGTGATAGAGGATTTAGCCATTCCATTATCTCTTGGGTAACCATCTTACTGTCATTAATAATAGAATCAGATTTCTTACAATTCCCAAATTAGTACTTGAATTAATTTGGTAAAGAGACCTCAGCCAATAGTAATTAAATATTAATACAGCTAGACAATATACATACACAAAGACATACTTTGGCCAAGTTTCAATCTGATAGCCAGATTGGGAATTTGGAAATCATTTTTTTTTATTTATTTGTCAAACACAAAAATGTCAAATTTGAATGAACAAGATAATAGTAATAACAATAACAATAACAATAACAATAACAATAATAATAATAATAATAATAATAATAATAA